CGCCTCCGCCGGCTGGACGTGGCTTACCTGAGGTCAGTGGGGCCGGGGACCATCATGAGGCTCATCCCGAACCTCAAGCACATCGTGGTTCTCAACCTCAGCATGACGGAGACCATCGATCAGGTATGTGGGGGGTGAGGGTGGGGGGGTGGGGGGTTAGACTCTCTTCGGGCGGGATTGGGGATGAGGATAGAAGGGTCAAGGGATTAGGGATTAGGGATGAGGATAGAGGGTTAGGGATGAGGATAGAGGGGTCGAGGGATTAGGGATTAGGGACGAGGATTTAGGGATTAGGGGCGAGGATTTAGGGATTAGGGGCGAGGATTTAGGGATTAGGGATGAGGATAGAAGGGTCGAGGGATTAGGGATTAGGGACGAGGATTTAGGGATTAGGGACGAGGATTTAGGGATTAGGGACGAGGATTTAGGGATTAGGGGCGAGGATTTAGGGATTAGGGATGAGGATAGAGGGTTAGGGATTAGGGATCAGGATAGATAGTAGACTGAAGGACGAATTAATGAGGAGGAGAGAAGAATGAGGGAATGAGATGGATAGATGGATAAGGGAATAAAGTGGATAGAAGGATGGAATGACATGGATAGACGAATAAAGTAATAAGCAGAACGGAGAGAAGATAGATAGACATTAAAAATATTAAGGGTTATTAAATAGATTGGTTGAAGGATATCATTATAATGGTATTAATAATTTTAATAATGGTTATTAAGTAATGAGGTATGGTCATATGACTGAAAATTAATTAAATAGCATATTTTTGAAACAGAAAATTACTTACAACATATCAAACCAAGCTAAAAGACATTAATTATATTTTGATTAATAATGATATTGATGTTTATGATAATATTGATGATAGTTGTAGTAATTGTAGTAGCAGTAGTAGTAGTAGCAATGGTAATTATAATAATGATGATAGTATTGATGATGATGATCATAATGGTAATGATAATGATATTGGAACTGATTTTGATAATAATAATAAAAATGTTAACAATATTATCCTTATTTTTTTCATAGTTGTAGTCATCCCCTAATATTATTACTATCGCTTTAGTAAGTCAACAACAACAACAACAACAACAATAAATAACCTTCTCCCCCTCTCTCCCTCTCTCCCTCCCCTCCCCCCCTTGAAAGGTCCTGGAACTCATCGGCCTAAACTGCCCCGAGATCCGAGAACTGGACATCTCTCATACGGCCATATCCGAACGCGGTCTGCCCAAGCTCTGCTACGACGCCGCTAACGACCGCCCTCTCTGCCAAAAGTTGACCAAGATTAGCATTATGGGCTGCATCATCACCCCGCGGCCTGTCAGCTTCTTGTTGCAGTATATCCCGACGCTGAGGGAGATGGATTATGATAATATATTCCAGGTGATGTATTATTATTATTATTATTTGATTGATTGACTTTTTTTTTTTTGGAGGGGTGGGTGGGGGAGGGGGTTAGTTGAAGGCGGTTGTTTGGGTTGTTGTTGTGTTTGGATGTTTGTATGTGTGGGTTGGTGTGTATGTGACTGTGTGTGTTTCTTGTCATTTTCTGTCTTTTTTTCCTCCCCTTCTCTCTCTCCCTTCCTTCTGCGCTCTCTCTCTCTCTCTCTCTCTCTCTCTCTCTCTCTCTCTCTCTCTCTCTCTCTCTCTCTCTCTCTCTCTCTCTCTCTCTCTCTGTCTCTCTCTCTCTCTCTCTCTCTGTCTCTCTCTCTCTCTCTCTCTCTCTCTCTCTCTCTCTCTCTCTCTCTCTCTCTCTCTCTCTCTCTCTCTCTCTCTCTCTCTCTCTCTCTCTCTCTCTCTCTCTCTCTCTCTCTCTCTCTCTCTCTCTCTCTCTCTCTCTCTCTCTCTCTCTCTCTCTCTCTCTTTCTCTCTCTCTTTCTCTCTCTGTATTGAGAGAGAGAGAGAGAGAGAGAGAGAGAGAGAGAGAGAGAGAGAGAGAGAGAGAGAGAGAGATGTATTTAAATATACACACATATATATATATATATACATATACATACAAACATGTACATATGTATATACATATATGTATATGTATATATATCATATATATGTATATATATGTATATATATATATATATATATATATATATATATATATATAAATACCATTCTCTCAACTTTCCTCCGTCCCCTCCGCCACTTTTCCTTTCCTCCTATCTCTTCTTTCTGCCCATCCCGCCATCACTTTCGGGGCCCACATATTCCCCAAAATCAAAATTGTTCAAAGCCGCCTCCGGCTACGAGGAGAAAATCCAATGACTTCTTTTTCAGGGCGCGCGAACTGCGACATTTGCCGCCATTTCGAGTCAGGGAATTTCTTTGAAAATTGGCGGGAAAATGACATAAGAGGAGGCGACACCTGCCGAGGAAATGGTGAACTTGGCGGGAAATGCGATTCGCTTTTGTTTTATTGGTTGTGAAGGGCGGTTAGGCACGGCCGAGATGGAGTTCGATTATACTCGTGCTGGTCAGATTGGTCATCGAGAGTTGATGGAATGGAATGATATGACTTTCGTCTGTGTGTGTGTGTGTGTGTGTGTGTGTGTGTGTGTGTGTGTGTGTGTGTGTGTGTGTGTGTGTGTGTGTGTGTGTGTGTGTTTCTTGTCATTTTCTCTCTTTTTCTCCCCCCCCTCTCTCTCCCTTCCTTCTGCGTTCTCGCTCTCTATCTCTCTCTCTCTCTATCTCTATCTCTCCCTCTCTCTCTCTCTCTCTCTCTCTCTCTCTCTTTCTCTCTCTCTCCCTCTCTCTCTCTCTCTCTCTCTCTCTCTCTCTCTCTCCCTCTCTCTCTCTCTCTCTCTCTCTCTCTCTCTCTCTTATACATATATATATATCATATATATATATATATATATATATATATATATATATATATATATATATATATATATATATATGTATGGATATATATGTGTATATATATATATATATATATATATATATATATATATATATATATATATATATATATATATATATAATGTATACACATTTGTGTGTAACAGAACATAAAACAGAACAGACATGTGTATATATGTATATATATGTTTGTTTGTATGTATATGTGTGTGCGTGCGTTTGCTTGTGTATACACACACAGAAACAAAGCAGAAATATAGGAACTGCCAGCTCAGCCTTCCCCCCCCTCCCCCCCCCTCAACTTCCACCGTAGTTTTGGCCGGCCATTAGCAAAGTTCGGAGCCGCGGCGTTGCAATCAGGGGGGGGCGACGTCAACACAAGACAACAGCTGTTTGTCGGGGAGGGAGAATCTGACAAGAACAGCTGGTCACGAGTAATCAAGAAAAGGGTTTAATCATCTCTGGCTGGGATGATATTGTTAGTCCTCTTTTGTCATTGGCTTTATAGGGCGGTTTCTGGTCGAGTTGGTTTTTATTGTTGGTTTTCTATAGTTTTTTTTCTATAAAGGTAGTGATGATAATGCTATTGATATTGTTGGTTACGGGGTCTATTATAATTACTTAGTGTAATTAGTATATTATTATTGTTATAATCATTATTTTGTTTTTACTGATTATAACTAGTATTTTCTTATTATCAAAGGTCATTATTGGCATTGCTAATATTGTTAATTATGACAATGCCATTGATCATTTTGAATATTTTTACGATATCAGAAGAAACAAAAATGGTAAAAAGGGTTACAAATCTAATCTCTCTTCTCTTCTCTTCTCTTCTCTTCTTTTCTCTTCTCGTCTCGTCTCGTCTTTTCCCTTCCCTTCCCTTCCCTTCTCTTCACTTGTCTTGTCTTGTCTTGTCTTGTCTTGTCTTGTCTTGTCTTGTCTTGTCTTGTCTTGTCTTCCCTTCCCTTCCCTTCCCTTCCCTTCCCTTCCCTTCCTTTCTCTTCCTTTCTCTTCTCTTTTCTTCTCTTCTCTTCTCTTCCCTTCCCTTCCCTTCTCTTCTCTTTATCGACTTTTTCTTCCCTTCCCTTCTCTTCTCTTCTCTTCTCTTCTCTTCTCTTCTCTTCCCTTCCCTTCCCTACCATTCCCTTCCGTTCCCTTCCGTTCCCTTCCCTTCCCTTCTCTTCTCTTTATCGACTTTTTTTTTCCCTTCCCTTCCCTTCCCTTCTCTTTATCGACTTTTTCTTCCCTTCCCTTCTCTTTATCAACTTTTTCTTCCCTTCCCTTCCCTTCTCTTTATCAACTTTTTTTTTCCCTTCCCTTCCCTTCCCTTCCCTTCCCTTCTCTTCTCTTTATCGACTTTTTCTTCCCTTCCCTTCCCTTCCCTTCTCTTTATCGACTTTTTCTTCCCTTCCCTTCTCTTTATCAACTTTTTCTTCCCTTCCCTTCCCTTCTCTTTATCGACTTTTTCTTCCCTTCCCTTCTCTTTATCAACTTTTTCTTCCCTTCCCTTCTCTTCTCTTTATCGACTTTTTCCATAACCATACTTTCTCATTTTACAGGTATTCAACGTCATGAAAGAGTGGGGCTTGACACCGGCTAACATCGGTACCTGTGAGAAATTGCACCTGCGTCTCCTCACCTCAACAAACGAAGCTGTAGATCCTGAAGATGTTGATATTGCAATCGAACTATGTCCATATGCCACGGTAAGTTGCAAATGTTGCAAAAAGCATTGGGAAAAGGGATGGAGAAGGGGGTAGATATATCACGGATAGGGGGTCGGGATATCACGGTTGAGGGAAAAGGATGTCGTTTTATCACGCTCTGTGTAGATGCGAGGGGGGGTGGATATTTTACTGGAAGTTCACTTATAATTAAAGAACATGAAAATTGATGACTATTTTATTATTATTATTATTTATTTCACGATGTAGTAATTCCAGATTCGTGCGGAAATGGAGAGAGAGAGAATAAAAAAAATCGTAAATTAATATATTTTTTTCTCAAAAATACATGTGCTGCAATATTTAATTGGGTGTTTTCGGTGTGGTCGATCACATGAAGAATATAATTGTGCTATAAAATGAAAACATGGAATTAAACTGAGGTAATTTTCGCCGATCAA